CTGGGAGGCCAAAGTGGGATGATCGCTCGAGGTCAAGAGTTCGAAACCAGCCTGAGCAAGAGCGAGACCTTGTCTCTACTAAAAATAGAAAGAAATTAATTGGCCAACTAAAAGTATATAGAAAAAATTAGCCAGGCATGGTGGCACGTGCCTGTAGTCCCAGCTACTCAGGAGGCTGAGGCAGGAGGATCGCTTGAGCCCAGGAGTTTGAGGTTGCTGTGAGCTAGGCTGATGCCTCCGCACTCTAGCCCGGGTGACAGAGTGAGACTGTCTCAAAAAAAAGAAAAGAGATTGCGCAGGACAGGTTATCCGGGCAAGTAGAGGCTTTGGGGAGGTGATGCTACAGCTGGTCCCTGGGAATGGGGGGAGGCTGGGGGAGGCAGTGGCCCGATGTCTCCGAGGTCAGATGGTCTTGGGGGAACCAGGATGTAAGAGGATGGGACATTGAGGAGCCCACTTTGGCCACGGTGGGCGATTTGCATGGCTGAGGGTGACTTTTACAAACGGCCAAAGAAGCACCAGGTTTCTACGAGCCTTGAACAGGGAGCTCTGTTCCTGCCAGGCAGGGAGCTCTGCTGAGGAGCAACTGGTGTTTCTCACTGTGGGACATGCCGGTGCCTTTGGCCAAGAGGCAGTCACTTACTGGACTTGGCAGCCTCTGGGCACATAGCATTTGTCCACCTGCCAGTCGGGGAGCAGCAGGCCCTCGGCAGCCAAGTCTCTCGCCTGCCCTTTCCCATAGCATGGTGGGAGCTCTGTTCCCTCGCGAGGACTGTGGGGGCAGCTGGAGTCCAATATGTGAGAGGAGGGGGCCTTTGGCACGCTGGCCCCAAGCAGGCAGCAAAGCCCTTGCACGTGGGTACAACAGCATGGCTAGGGAGAGGCCACCAGCGGAGCAAAGACAACGAAAGCTTCAGCTGGGCTCAAAGGAGAGCCTGGAGCAGCCTTTCCAGCTCCTTAGCTTCCCAATGAAACCACCACCCCCTGACACCCGAGCAGAGGTCTTGCTCGGTGGTCTGCGTGATCACATCATTCCCCTCTTGGTCTTGCATCTCAGGGGCCAAGAGACAGGGTCAAAACACCGCCTGTGGCCGGGCGCGGTGGCTCACGCCTGTCATCCTAGCACTCTGGGAGGCCGAGGCGGGCGGATTGCTCAAGGTCAGGAGTTCAAAACCAGCCTGACCAAGAGCGATACCCCGTCTCTACTAAAAATAGAATGAAAGTAATTGACCAACTAAAAATATATATACAAAAAATCAGCCGGGCACGGTGGCGCATGCCTGTGGTCCCAGCTACTCTGGAGGCTGCGGCAGGAGGATTGCTTGAGCCCGG